CCTCTCCCTACCACTCTGTCACTAAAATCAGTTTAAAAAAATAAAAGATTTCTGTCACTATTTGGGTCTTTTGTGTTTCCATACAAATTTTTGGATTATTCTAGTTCTGTGAAATATACCATTGGAATTTTGATAGGAATTGTGTTGAATCTATAGATTGCACGGTATATGTTTCTATTTATTAGTATCCTCTTTGATTTCCTTCTTTAATGTTTTATAATTTTCTGTAACCTCTCCTCTGTTAAATTTATCCCTAGGGCCCTGACTGGTGTGGCTCAGTTGGTTGGATAGTCATTCCATGCAATAGAAGGTCATGGAGTTGATTCCCAGTCAGGGCACATACTTAGGTTGCGGGTTCAACCCCCCAGTTAGGGCAAGAACAGGAGGCAACTGATTGATGTATGTCTCTCACAGCCATGGTTCTCTTTCTCTCTCTCCCTCCCCCTCCCCCTCTCCTTTTCTCCCTTCCACCTCTCTATTCCTCTCTCCCTCCTTCTCTGGAATCTATCTATATATATATATAAAAGCCTAACTGACCGTTTGACCATCCAACAGGTAGCTATGATGCGCATTAACCACCAGGGGGCAGATGCTCAGTGCAGTAGCTGCTGAGCTGTGGCGACTTGGCAGCTGCGGTTCTCAGGTTACGCACCCGGAACCAGAGAGGAGGGAGCCCGATTCTAGGGTGTGTCACCCGAGAACTGCCCTCTTGCAATTTGGGACCCCTCAGGGGATGTCTGAGAGCCAGTTTCAGCCGGCAACCTGACAGCCGGCCAGGCCTAGGAACCCCACCTGTGCATGAGTTCATGCACCGGGCCTCTAGTTGTCATATAAAAATGCAACTGATTTTTGGATATTTATTGTGTATCCTGCTACTTTACTGAATTCATGTATCAGTTCTAGTAGTTTTTTTGTGTGGAATAGGTAGGGCTCTCTATATACAGTATCGTGTCATCTGCAAATAATAACAGTTTTACTTCTTCCTATCCAATTTAGATGCCTTTTATTTCTTCTTGTCGGATCACTGTGGCTAGGACT